GAGAAGCAGCACTGGGGAAACGAAGGCAGAGCTGAACGCGAGGCAGCGCGCGCAGAGCCAGCGCAGCTGGGCAGGGGGAGCGGACGCGGGGGGCTGGCAGCTCGGCGTCTGCCGTCGCTGAATCTCTCTCCTTGTGCCCTGTGTCCACCTGCCCTTGTTTTAAGTGGCAGCTTTCCCAGTGATTCATTGAGGCACTGAAAGTCATTTTGGCTTGCCCAGGCAAAAGTGTGACGTAATCAAAAGCTGTGAACTGAAGAAGACAGTGTGCGGACGTTGCCCTCAAAACCAACAGCAACAGGCAGAACAAGGCCAGGATTTACAGGCTGGATTTAGACTAAATTAAAATAAAGAATAGGAAATTTAACAGCGCGGGGAACAAGCCTTCAGGATAAACACAGGAGCAGTAGTTCATCATCATTTCTAGTCTTTACAGGCATCTTTCTGAGACACGCATGTGAGTTTGGAAAATGAATTAAGGACTTTCTGCAAGCGTTGCAGGTCCTGTGAAATGCATTTTGCAGATCGCATCAGACAGTTGTGACGGTTCCTTTAGGTTTGAAATCAAGGGCATTGCCATACCTTTCTCAGAGCTGGGGAAGCATGCTGCTCCACAAGCCCCCACCCCCCGGGACGGCATTGTACCAAGGCCCCGGTCCTCCCTTTTCCTGTAGGTGGGGTTTCCATAGGAAACACCAGCTTGTCCACCTCCCAGCCCTGGCTGGCGGCCGGCCGGACACGGCGCTCCCCGACTGAAACTGCTTTGGTGGCGGTCCTCTTCTCTCGTGCCGGTCCTCTTCTCCTCTGGCGCCGAGGCTCTTCAGCCCAGCAATCGCCCGCACCTTCTGCCTGTCCTCCGGCAATGGTAGGGAAGAGGAGAACTGCTGCTCAGCACAGCTGGACTTGCAATTTCTTTTCCTTTCCAACTGGTAACGTGCGCCTATGGGATTTGGAAATGGGAGAAGATGCCAAGGATTTGCACATACTGTAAGCTTTGTTTGGGTATGCAGAGATACATAGACAAATCCGCTGACCTGGGACAGAGCGGCAGCGCGGTTGGCTTTCTCAGAAGCATGCTTTTGCTGTGCCGCTTTACTCTTCAGATCCCAGCCTTGTGGTGGTACCTTTTTCTCTCTGTGGATGCCCAGGAGGTGGCCACGTTCACAGTGCAATACAAAGTGTTTGAAGAAGTACCGAATGGAACGGTAATAGGAAAATTATCGGAGCATTTTGGTTGGGGTGAGGGAAGTAAAACAGCGGAAACCTTCCAACTGATGCAGTTTCCAAGGAGGTTCCCTCTCCGGATGGGAAGTGGGGATGGCTTGCTCAGCACTGCCGGGCGGGTGGACAGGGAACAGCTCTGCAGGCATAACGATCCATGCTTGGTCTCTTTTGATGTGCTGACTGCCCGAAATTCGGCTCTAATCCATGTGGAGATTCAAGTATTAGATATCAATGATAATAAGCCTCAATTTCCAACCCCTGAACTGGAGCTGGAGATTTCAGAGAGCGCATCTTTACGGACACGGATCCCGCTGGACCGAGCCTTGGATCCGGACGCTGGCCGCAATGCGCTCTGCTCCTACTCGCTTTCTCCCAGCGAACACTTTGCTCTGGAGGTTGTCTCAGGCTCTGATGGAACAAAACATGCAGAGCTTGTTGTTGTTAAAGAAGTAGACCGAGAGCTGCACTCTTCTTTTGATCTAATATTGACAGCTGTTGATCATGGGGAACCGCCAAAATCAGGTACCGCTCTAATTAAAGTCATAGTTCTTGACTCCAATGATAACAGCCCTGTCTTTGCAGAGAGCTCTTTGACAGTAGAGATTTGGGAAGATGCTCTACCTGGGACTCGTCTCATAACAGTCACAGCCACCGACCCTGACCAGGGTCCAAACGGAGAAATAGAGTACTGCCTCAGCAAGCACGCTCCCCTGGAGGTGCTGAGCACCTTCAGCATCGATACCCGGACTGGCAGCGTTGTCCTGAAGCACCCCCTGGACTACGAGGAAATCCACGCCTATGAGCTGGATGTACAGGCCAGAGATCTGGGCGCCAATCCCATTCCAGCACACTGCAAGATCCTCATCAAAGTGCTGGATGTCAACGACAACGCCCCCGATGTTCACATCACCTGGGCTGCTCGAGTGCCTGTGCTCTCCGAGGCCCTTCCCAAAGACAGCTTTGTGGCTCTGGTGACCGCTAGTGACCCCGATTCAGGAAACAATGGACAAGTGCATTGCTCTCTTAGTCAAGGATATGAACACTTCAGGCTGAAAAGGACCACCAGCCACAGTTTCGTGCTGATGACCAATGCCACCCTGGACAGAGAGCTGTGTGCTGAATACAACCTGACCTTGCTGGTGCAAGACCAGGGCAATCTCTCCTTAACTGTGTTCAAGTACCTCACTATTTGTATCAGTGATGTTAATGACAACGCCCCAGAATTTGAAAAGGGTACCTACGATACTGCCATTGCTGAGAACAGTCAATCACCTTTTTACTTGATTACTGTCAGTGCCAATGATCCTGACTTAGATTTCAACGGAAAAATCACCTACAGCATCCAGGATTCCTTTGTTTCAGGTCTGGTCTCTATTGACCCTAGCACTGGGGATATTTTTGCCCTCCAAGCTTTTGATCACGAGCAAATGAGCAGCCTCGAGTTCTTGGTGACCGCAGAAGACGGCGGTCACCCCAAACTCGTGTCAAACGTCTCTGTGAGGTTGGCTGTGCTTGATGAGAACGACAATGCCCCCGTCATCACTGAGCCGGCGCTGGTGGGAGGCGCTGCAACGATTTCCGTTCTCGTCAGCCCACAGACGGGGTGCTTCTGCACAGCCCCCGGGAACTGGAGTGCCCCCGGGGCAGCACCTGTGAACATGACACGCGTGTCCTGCTCAGACGCTCCCCTGCTCTTTACCATCACAGCCAGGGACATGGACTCTGGCCGGAACGGAGCTCTCCAGTATGTCATTGTGGGTGGGAACGAAGCCCAGCTGTTTGTCCTCGATCCACTCTCAGGGCAGGTGTTCCTCAACTCCAGCAATGCCAGTAGCCTGGCTGGGAGCCAGAGGGAGCTGGTGATACGTGTGAGTGACAGAGGAGACGTGCCCCTGCACACCCAGGCCTGCATGCGGTTAGTTTTCAGAAATCATGGTGCTTTCTCCAAAATCTCAGCCCAGGGGTCGCAGAGGCTGAGCCCGTCAGTAGTCACTGTTATCTGCCTGGCTGCTCTCTTAGGCATGTTCCTTCTTATTCTGGTTTTAATTGTGTCTTTGTGCAAAAAAGAGAAGAAGGATAGCATGGCTTACAACTGCAGGGAGGCAGAGGACGCCTACAGGCAGCAGCAGCTCAAGAAGCCACACAGGCAGATTCAGAAGACAGACATACACCTAGTCCCGGTGCTCAGGAGCAGGTCGGAGGGGCCCAGAGAAGCTGAGCTCTTGCGTCCCTGCGAGGAGGCTCTGCTGAGCGAGAGTGCCATGGACCCTGAGTACGGGGGCTCCCTGCAGGCTCCTTTCCACCTGACCCCCACTCTCTATCGGACCCTGAGAAACCAGAGGAACCAGAGAGACTCAGATGAGCAGCAGGATGCTTTTAACCTCACTCTAATGCAGCGTCGGCCCTGCCAGCCTCACAAACTGAAAAATTCAGCCAAAGAGCCTGCGAGCTCTCTGGACGCACTGCCTCATTGCAAGAGCTTGGTGAAGCCACAGCTGAGGCCAGTGGGAGACTCCTTGCCACCAGCTAGCCAGCCCACGGGCACAGCTCTGAAGGGGCGGAGTGGTGCCGAGGTGGACGGGGCGCCTGGCGAGGCCCAGCCCCACCAGCACATCCTCAGGAGCCTGGTCCGGCTCTCCCTGGTGGCGCTTGCAGAGCAGAGCCCCACGGGGGAATTCGCCATGGAGTCGCCCCCAGTTCAGGTAGGAGCTGCCCCGTGGGTTACTGGAGGTGGGAAAACCCCCAAATCCTGCCTCATCAGGTTCTAATAGAGCACTGGAACAGGTTGCCCAGAGAGGTTGTGGAATCTCCATCCCTGGAGATATTCAAAAGCTACCTGGATAGGGTCCTGGGCAACATGCTTTAGGTGACCCTGCTTGAGCAGGAGGGTTGTACTAGGTGATCTCCAGGGGTCCCTTCCAACCTCAGCTGTTCTGTGATTCTGTGACTGTGCGATTCTTGCGCACCCTGGGGTTGTGGGAATGCACCCTAAAGGCAAAAATCAACCTGGAAGTATGCAGTGTGGTCTCTTTCCCAGGCCCTGGGCAGCTACAGTTTGGGTTGGCTGAATGGCCTCTCTGCCATGAGAATGGTCTCTCGACACCCACGGGGACATCTTGGGAGTGGGGATGGAGAACGGCTGTCACACAGAGACGGGGATGGGCTTGCATTAGCTTCCCCCAGCCAAGGGGAAAGGGTGCGTGCTGGGAGGACACGACATGCAGAAGCAGCACCATGGATGGAGGGGAAGTGCTGGGGCCAGGTGGGCTGCTTGATCTCTTGTTTTTCCACTGCAAAACCTCCAAGTGGGGATGCCTAACCATCTGCAGAAGGAGGAAACGCTATAAAAAGGTAGCGCAGTTTAGAGGGGACATCCTGGCAGGAAGCATCTTGAGTGGTGATTGCATGGGCTCAATAGGCTTTTCCTGTCTTACAGCAAATCTCTCAGCTGCTGTCCCTGCTGCACCAGGGCCAGTTCCAGCCCAAAACAAATCACAGGGGAAACAAATACACGACCAAGAACGGTAGCAGGTAAGGTTTGCTCTCAGCCCATCCCTTTTCTCACCCACTATCCCTTAGAGTCTCTGCCTGTTTCTTCTTCAACCTTGCTAGCCTTAAAGGCCTCCAGAACAAGACATCAGCTTGTCCACAGTTTCCCTGACCTGAGCCTTGGAAAATGGCTGGTCAGGAAGGTACATAGCACAGAACCTGTTACCTGGCACAGAAGCTGGTACCTGGCACAGAAGCTGTTGCTGGCACGGCTTCCCTGTAGAGGATGATGGCTCCTCTGGGCCCATGTCCACACTGACACAGCTATGCGGCTCCCTGCTCCTGCTGTGCTTCGCCTCCTCCCTGCAGCACCTTCATCTCCTAGCTACTTCCGTCTCCATCTGAGCTTCCCCTGCTGCCAGGAACCATCTGCTTGCCTTTGCTGGGTAAAAAAACAATGTGTTCAAAGGCAATGAAACAGTGCATTGAAGAGGGTACTGAGCCACAGCTTTGGAGGCAGCAGGCACAAGGGCAAGCTTGCTCACTGCTCTGGACTTGCTCTAGGTAATTTCTTGGAGCTGTCATTGCCTGTTGATATGAGTTAAGTGCATCTATCCCTGTGCCAGGAGGTCAGAGAGGAGAGCAGAGATGAGAATGACTTGAGATATCCCAGCTGTGTATTGACGACATCCCCAGAGAGAGAGGAACTTTAAAGTGGTCCCATTAAATTATGGTGCTTACATCACTGGGTGAATGCTCCTGGTGATGGAGGGAGGTGTCTTTCTCTGTGCCCCCACCGCTGCCAGCTGGCTGTTGATGAAGGAGTGAGCGGCAGCGCTTGGAGAAGCTGTGAGGCTGATAAGGCCACCAGCAGGCATGTTGGGGAGGATCGCGCTAGTCTGCACTGCCCAGGAGTAGGAGCCCTCCTCCAGTGCAGCTGGCTCCATGCATGACTGCAAGCTTGCAAGGTGTCAGTCTGACCTGAGGGCCCCAGAGAGGCCAGGACACTGCGGGCTATGGGCCCAGGAGGGAACAGCAAGCAAGGCCTCATCACTGCCTTACCTCGTCCTCCTCATCTGCCAAAATAGGGAAGAGGGGAAAGGACTTGGCTAAGGAAAAAACAGCAGGTAGACACAGTTTTCTCCACCTTTCTCATCGTCACTCCCCCATGCCCAAACTGCCCTCTCCTTCCACCTGCTCTGTGGTGCACTGTGCTTGCCACTAAGGCCTTGCCGCCCCACTCCATGGACACGAAGGTGCAAGCTGCAGGGAGGCAAACTGCATGGCCCTGCTGTGCTGCTGAAGGACTGCGAGAAGCCTGGCTCTGCTCTGGCTTCTGATGAGCAGGTGGGAACCCGGCGCAGCATAGCGTAGGCACTACCACCTACACGGGAGCTGTGGGAGTCTCGCTGCCCCGGAGCCTGGCATTAGTCCCTCCTTGTCTGGAGACTGGTGCCTTGCAGGTTCACAAATAGTCTCTACTTGAGAGCATGCGTGTTAGGGAGCGGGAGCGACCCAGCGCTGGAGATGTTGGTGCAAGATCATGCTGAGAGGCTCCGTGCACAAGTAGCTCCTCTGGATTCACTAGGAAGAGCCAGCAGCTCCCTATTGGTTCAGGGCAGTGTCTCAGTGCAAAAGGCAAAACTCTCTCCAGTGAGAAATGTGGGGAAGGCCCACATCTAGCCCAGCACCCAGCCAGAGCCCAGTTTTCAGAGGGTTCATGTCACTGCAGTGCCCAGTGCTTGGCTTACATGATTATTAAAAAATATAACAGACAAATGAATTGGTGGGAACTAAAATGATGGCAAAAGTGGTGATTAAGAAAACCCCTGTAAGCTTTCCCATCTCCTGAGGGCTCCTCTTAGCTGACTCATCTGGGGGGCCATTTGCAAATGGATGGGGTGCAAGGAGCCTGCAGGTTGCTGCACTGGAGGGCTGGAGCTGAGCCTGCCCCCCGGGAATCAAAGGAGCAGTGTGCAAGTGACTGGTGAGGCTTTTCAGGATCGTGAACCTACTTTTGAGGTGACAGAAAATCACATCCCATTGGCAAGCTCTGTATGCAAAACTGGGGAAAACCCCAATTGAATGAGACAGAATTTGACTAGTTAGCCTCTAAGAGCACCCAAGGTTTTGTGTCATTTTATGAGGGATAAAGACAGCCACCTTCAAAATAATAGACCAGGTGGGGACAAGGCAGGCTGGTGCTGACGGTTCAGGTGAGATTTCAGTGTTTTGCGCTTGGCCTCCCTGCAGGGCTGCAGGGCTGGATGCCGACTGCCTGAGTACGAAGGACAGTGGCCATGGAGAGAGCGAGGCAGAAGACCGTGATTCAGAGAATGGGTTTGATCTTTCCATGCAGCAACTGGTGGGAGAAGAACTTGAGACCCTTCTGGAACCGCAGGCAGGTGAGGCTGACTTGCTGCGTATGATACACGCAGGGGCCCTTCCAGTAGGCGTGCTGGGATTGGCAGTGGGCTCAGGCAGTGGGATCGCCTTGCTAACACACTAGCCCCATGTAGAAGATGAAACTGGCAGGCCTATGGCAGACCTGAGGACGTCTAGCCTCGTCGGGTGGGTCTGACAGTGGCAGACGCTCGGCAAGGCGTGTGAGAACAGGCCAGCCTATGATACCGGTCCCAAGCAAGCTACAGCGAAGGGACTTGCTGAGCTTTACATTGGCTTTTTCATGTGTTTGATTACCCTTGGTAGACCCTGCTTGGATTTGTCTCCTCTGCTATTGAGCTTATTTGTAAAACTGGTCTCCTTGTCATTGCAGCAGTGAATCCCAGTTTATGCACTACACAAAAACTCCACTTCCCATGCTGACGTGAGCCCACTCGTTTCATGTCTCCTAGTCCTTGCAGTGTGAGATAGGGTGAAGCGTCGTGCTTCTAGCCCTTGGCAAGCCCCTCACAACTTTATAGACCTCTCGATCTCCATCAGGCAGTGCTTTTCCACCACGCTGAAGGGGTCCAGTCTAGTCTCCTGTTATCACCCCTGTTATTTGCTACGTTGTTTTCTAGTTTTAGTATACTTTTATTGAGATGTGGCGACTGAAACTATGCAGAGTGCTTAAGATACACTTACACCAGTGGTACAAAGAACTTTTGCTGGTTTGTTTTTCATTCCTTTCCTGCCCAAGCTCTGTCATTAGAATGGGTCATGGCAACTCCAGAACCTCTCCTCTGTGTGGTGGGAGAGTCGTCAATACGGGAAGTGTTCTCCATGCCACTCATTCAATAGCTATTGACACAGAAAGCCACCAGCCATTTTTTTTCCTGAAGTCACTCAGTATCAGCAGGTCCTTCAGCAACTCCCTGCAGTCACTTTGGCTTTTACCCTTCTTGAATAATTTTAGTAGAAACAACACCAATGCCATCCACTTTTCTACACCATTTATGTTGAATAGACCAGCATAGATCTCGCATACTCTGGTGAGATTCCACTAATGATTTCTCTTTTGGGGGAAGATTATTTATTCCTACCCTTGTTTCTTAGCTTTTAACATGTATTAGTCCCTGCCAGAGACTTGCTGCTAATTCTGGGACAGCTTAGGTCCTTTGAGAGTCTGTCTTGGTGCTCTTCTGGAAGCCCAAGCGCACCAGGACTCTTTGTCTGCCTCCTTCAAAGACTCCAAGAAATTGGCAAAGCAGAATTCCTCACCCCGCAAATGTCCTGTCAGTTCTTGTCCATATAGCAGGTATTCAGCTCTCTACGGAGTCTCAGATATAATGATTTCTGTGAATTTGCCCAGACTAGATCCACCTTTATGCACTTAAAAACTCGTCACAATTTCTACCTTCCATCCTTCTGATACCATATTCATTTTAAGCAGCAGTTAACGAACAACAGTTAATAAATGAAGCAATTTCATATTTGAGTTCTTTTAACACTCTTGGATGAATACCATCTGGGCCTGACATTTTCTACATGTTCATTTTACTGATTTATTCTAAAAATCTCTTCTACTGGCATTTCAATTTGAAGGAGTTAGTCTGACTCATGTCCTGTAGCAAAAATTTCATTGTGGAGCCTCTGCACTCCTCCATAGCAAGCGGAAGCACGAAGAATTCATTTAGGTTTTCTGCTGTGGCTGTAGCTTCTTTGAATGATCCTTTTACACCCCAGTCAGCTCTTGCTCCTACTGCACAACATACTCTCCACATCCACTGATTTGAAAAAAGGGTATTAGCAGCCTTTGGCAAGGATGTTCAGCCTGTAACTCTGCATTTTGAGTAGTCTCTGTATCACCTGGAAGTAGGCTTTTAGCATCCAGTGAAGTAAACTGGGGAGCAACTGCAGTAAATTCTGCTTTAGCTCCAGACTTGAGGGTTTTCTGTGCTCTTGTCCTGGTAGGGGGGGGGGACCATGCTCGTTTTAGTCTCTTTGCCTTCCTGTCCTAATGAGTAAGCGAAAGAAAGGCTGGGTGAAATGAGAGCAAAGTTACTGTGGGGAAGATGAACGGAGAAAGACCGAGTGGAAAAGCTACTTGGAAAGGCCTTCAGTCCAGCTTAGCTGTCTGTGCCAGGCTATGGCATGTGGTCCTATAGTCAGGCTACTTTCCACTTCTGAAGACAAATTAAGATCTATTTGGTGTTCTGTCCATCTTTGGCTGCCAACATACCAGCAGGGGAGGGCATCTGTGTCTTCCTTCTGCCCCGCACAGACACAAGCTTCCCCAACTCCATGTGCTCACCCAAGGCCCCAGGCTGCTGACTTCACGAGGACTCACGTGTCATCCCACCCTTGCCAAGCATCAAAACGCTCCCTGGTTTGCCTGTTCCTTACAATGCTTATTGCTGATGAAGGTGCAGAGGATCTGCCCCATGGGGTCAGTGCAGAGCACCAGTGGAGGCATTAGATAACAGCCTCCCATTTTGTGGGCACGGCTGGAGCTGCCAGCCTCCTCAGATTTAAAGGTCTTCAGCAAAGAGCAGGGAGTGAACAGGCTACCTAACTCCAGCCCATAGGTGTACCGAGGTGCTGACATTTGCCAGTCCCAGTAAGGCCCTAGTAGACCTACTCAACAAAGAAAGCTGTCCAGATCCAGTCCTGCCCAGACAGGTAGCACCTGATATGACCCCAGCCAGCAAATCTGTGCTACAGTGAGACATATCCACGTCCTTCATGCTGCTTGGATGAGATGGGAAAAAGCCTGTGCTAAATTATTGATTTTGCAGTAAGCACCAAAAGCATGTGTTGAGACTGTAGCCTCCTGCCTCTGCAGTAGTGCTGGACATGACAAATAAGGCCTAGCTAGCTTTCTGTGATGAAAAATAATGATGTTATCCATGAGCCCAAACCTTCCTACGAAGGCAGCAGAGCACAGACCTGGACTCCTTCCTCCTCTCCCAAACACAGAGAAGTGGACTTGCATCCTGAGTTAGGGAGGAAGGAAGCATTGCTTGTGCTCAAAAGTATCAAAACAGCTGGCTGAGGCTTGGCTGGGCCTTTGTGTTATTCACAGTGGGGGGAAAAGCGAGTGAATAATCTGCCCTAGCCAGTGATTTGTTTGTTTATACATTGAGCAGCATTGAGCAGCAGGCTGAACTCTTAGCCCTAAGGACTATGTATCAACACCTATCCCATACCAGGGAAACAGAGAGCAGTCACAGCAACAGACAAGATACAGCTTTATTGATTAAAAAAAGCCCAAAATGCCCATTAAAATGAGGCAGTAAAGAGCTATGGGTCAAATTAAACATACCTAATTGTAAGATTTCATGGCCACAGGGGCCAGGAAGATCAGCACAAGTTCCAGCTCTCTGCCAAAACCAGACTACCATTCTAACTTGTTTCGGAGCTGAAGTACCAAAATATTCAGAAAAGATGTACAGTAACTCTCTTGCCATTCCTGATATGCTCCTAGGCAGTTTCTCTGGAGTACTGTGTTAGCATTTAGCACACCCTGGGCACTGTGCCTTTTCACAAACTGAGGAGGACAGAACTGTGGATGTTTTAAAGCAAATACATGGGACTTCATCACACTTGGGCCATCTCTTAAGGGACAATAGCTGAGGCAGAAAATACTGCAATTGCAAAAAAAAAAAAAAAAAAAAACCACCTGAAAATTAAGTAACATGAAAGAAATTTGGAGCTTTAACTGAAACAAAATCTACGTAATATATCCACCTTTCTCTTCTCACCATGCTTTCAACAGGTTTTGAATACTAAACTTTCCCCACTCTGGGACACAATTCTGTTTCAGAGGAAAAGGACTAATCGCTTAGTAGACTGAGGACAAAGACTTATCTTGGGAATTGGCCAGCCACTGATTGAAGACCAGGATGTCCCAGGCTGTGGCAGGTTATTGATCAGTCTGTCTTCTGGAAGCAGCATGATTAAGTGTATGAGAATAGGGACCATCCTTTCAGAGATCACTTTAATAAAGTAAGTCAGTGTGAGCCACATAATTATGACACAAACTCTTGCTATCTGATTGGGACTGTCATGGAATTTGATGTTTTATTATCAGACATGAGTTACTCGTTTTGCTGCTCTCTGACTCAAGAAGTGTTTCACTGACTTGGCTGTCACCTCAAACCTTCCAGCTTTTGTGGTTCTAGTGCACGCTTTGGAAATGAAAAAACGTGGGGCTAGAAGGGAGCTTCTGTGTACCACACCACAGAGTCTCTTCATCAACTGCTAAGCTCTACCTTAAAAACAAGAATTCCTGTTTCCTTTCCTGCTGTCTGTTGAGGAAGCTATTCCAGGCTCACGCTGCTATGGGGCCCTTCCTTTAATTTCCAGTATGTATTTATTCACGGACAGTTTATAATCACTTCTTCTTGTGCCAATACTATTTTGAGCATAAATATTTCCTTTGTCGGTGCTTACCTCATCAAAATAACAACAGGTTGCAGTAAGATCCCCTATAAGCATTTGCTTTCTTAGGCTAAACAACCCTGTCTCTTGGGGTCTCCATCTTGTAGGCTTAGACTCATTGCTGTTTTCATCTCAACAGTTTTCTCTGCAGTTCTGTCATTTCAGATTCTCTTTCCGAGGGATGGATGATCAGATTTGTGTGTGATACTCCTAATCAGGTCTTACCAGACCTAATAACAATACCATAGATTTTTTTTTTTTATGTCAATAGGGAATACCTTGACCAACACATTTTATGATTTCATGTGCCCATTTCAGGGCAGAACCACATCAGTGGTGCATTAATGAGCCTGCAATCAACACCCACACCAGGCTCCCACTGCTCCTCATCTGTTTCCAATTGATGAACAACTACTTTATAGCTCAATTTTTCGTTGCTAGTCCTCAGCCACCCAGCTGTGCATTTTATAATCCAGAATTTCATTCCACTTCTGTTATTACTGTTTTCACAATAATCCATTTCTTTTTGGTCTCAATCTGCCTGTTTATCAGCAAATTCCCACTTCTAAAGTGACCCTTGAGGAAGTCCACTAGTGACCTTTTCTCTGTCTGATACTTCCCCGCTTTGAAAGCTTTCCATTGTTGTCTCCCCTTTAGCCAGTCCTACACCCTCACTTTCTCTGGCTTTGCTAACAATTTATTGAAGTGCCACTTGAAACTACAATAATTGAGAAAGCAAAATGATCCTAACAGTTATTATATTACAGGAATTTTAAATCAATTCTGTTTTTTTTTCTTAAGCTGCTAGTGTGAATAACCCCACTGGTAGCTTATCCTTAGACTTGCTTACAAAGTTACTCCTCTCGCAGTTGATCTCAATAAGTCTCCTCCTTTCTCATTTTTTTCTGCTGTGGTCTCCCCTGCTACACATCTCACCAAAAGTTCTTGTTTTCACTCCCTCCAGAGCTGGCCCTCAAGAGGCTGACGGCTGCTGACCCAGAATGGGTGGCTCGGCTCTCCTTGCCGCTCACCAGTAGTTACAAGGACAATGTCTTCTCCCCTGATTCTCTGCATTCACCTCAGGACCAGGAAGCTGCAAGGCAGGAGAAACCAAGGACCTTTGAGACATTTGGCAAAGTTACTGAGTCTGACTCGAGTGCCGCTGGGACAAAACTGGCCAGCACTTTCCTTTCAGAAATGAGCACCCTCTTTGAAATGATTTTGTCCCAGAAGGTCCAAGCCCACAATGAAACAGGCTCAGGGCTTCTGCGGCAGCTGTCAGCACGTGGGAAGAGCCTTGGACTGGATGACAGTGCTCCTGTTCCGTAGGCAGCTTGGCAGCTGTGAGAAGGAGAGGAGAGTCAAACAGAGCTTTCTGTAAAATTTAGGGTGCACAAGCGTGTGTCATAACAGGTCCAACAGAATCATAGCAAGATCCACGTCTAGACTGATCATGACAGGCATATTTCTCCCTTTGCCAAGTCCCATCAAATTTCTCCATGACTGATTTCACCTTTAGTGTTTCTCCAACTGCCTGTTCTTGCCTCTCTATCTTTCCTTTTCTTCCATCCCCATCTTACAATCACACTCAAGCCATAAAACAGAAGAGCCAGAGCAGGTAGATTAACAGAGGGGGTTTGTTAGATTAACCACAAGTACAACACAATCACATATATCCATGTGATCATGGACTGTGCACCACAGATATTGTACTACCAGTCATGGACTTTGCAACATGCTGCAGAATTAGCCTGAAGGATCTCAGTTCTTATTTAAAATAAAATTTTTTTTTCTAACATTAACATCTCTGGGACAAAGTCCAATATAACTGAGATAATGATGTATCTGCAGAAAGCCTGAAATGGCAACTTAGAAAGGGGAGAGCTGTGTGTTTTCTTACAGTGAGCGTTTCGGCTTTGTGACTGCACTGCTGTGAACTCTGCTTTTTGTCAAATACCCCAAATGCAGTACTTCTGCTTTGGAATCTGTGCTATGGCTGCACTAAGGGCCCACAATTTCTTTCTCCACGCTCTTTTGTGAGACCCCTGAATTACGGATCATTTCCCTTGCCCAGCAGCAGACAGCAGATGGATGGAGTCTATCAAGGTAATCTGGGAAAAGGGAAGCATGAAAACACTGTCTTTAAATATTCAATCACACGCTTCACCCATATTACTGTTTTCCACTTTGATCTGAAGGTATGTGAGCTGTAAGACTGTTTTGGGATAATAGCACATGTGGAAAAACTTATTTACAGATATTAATAATAGAGGGGGGAGTAATAGGTGTTGTTAAACATGGGGATTTGTACTCGCAAAGAATGGAAAGACAACAGCGGCATAAGCAGCTGGCATAGAATCGCAGGCTTGCACAGCAGCGCGTGGATAGGACTTGTGTATGGGGTGAACAGCAGAGGAGTTGTGGGAGAACAGAGAACACCGATAAATCCTTCTGGATCATGCACATATGGGGCTCTGCTTTCCCTA